CAAAATCACCGAAGTGTTTCCCAAGGTTTTGGCCACAGTTTGGCCTCCTGGGGGGGGGGGCACTGCTTACGATGACTCCAAGAGCGCCTGGGAAAGCCCAAGATGACCTTCCGGATGGCTCAAGATATCCCAAAATGCCTCAAGATGGTTCCCACGATGCTCCAAGAGGCCCCAAGACCGCTCCAAGACGGCTCCAAATGGCCAAGGAACTCCCCCAGGAGGCCCCGAAGAGGCCAAAATCTTTCCAAAACCTTAGGACAATCACTGCCCTTGGTGTTCTCGCCTTTTCGCATCCGATGGCCATCCGAGGCCTCAGGATGGCTCCAAGATGGCCAAAAAGGGATCCGAAAGCGCTCCCAAGGATCCCAACAGCGTTTCCAGAGGGCCCTAAGAGGCGCCCAGGAGGCGCCCAAGAGGCCCCAGGAGGCCCCAACAGGCGCCCAGAGGCCTCCAAGAGGCTCCCAAGAGACACCCAAGAGGCCCCAAGAAACTCTCAGAGGCACCCTTTCCCACGGGGTATCAGGGCTGGGTTGGGTATTAGGCCCACCTTCCCACGGCTAAGCCCTGTGGGGGGGTGGGGGCGCATTAATGGTATGGCGACCTTCTCCTCCTCAGGTCCGCTTCCCTCATGGCGAGACTTTTGAAGACCATTGGATCGGCTCGCATCGGACCAGCCGCGGCCGACACCTCGCTGCTGGCCCGGGGAGCCTCGCGCCGCCGAGGCGCCGAAACGGCGCCGCGGGGCTCATCCCCCTCCCCCTCCTCCACCTCCTCCTCCTCCTCCTCCTTCTCCTCCTCCTCCTCCTCCTCCTCCTCCTCCTCCTCCTCCTCCGCCTCGTTCCCCTCCTCCTCGTTCTTCCGCTCCTCCTCCTCATTAGCCGGAGGTTCCCCACCCGTCCTTGATTTTCAGAGCTGTCTTACCTGTCATCCGCATGTGTGTGAAAAAACCCAATGCGGAGCGACGAGCTGGCGGCGGCAACGACCGGAGACAACTGAAATCAACAAAACTGGCGCTCAAGACTGCGCTTGCCGCCCGCTGTGAGCAAGGGCGGGAGGTCGATCACCAGACAAATCAGAGGTTCCCCACCCGTCCTTGATTTTCAGAACTGTGTTACCTGTCATCCGCATATGGGGGAAACCGAATCGAGAGCGACGAGCCGGCGGTGGCAGCGATCGGAGACAACTGAAACCAACAAGCTTGCCAGACATCGAGTGTCCAAAGATCGCAATCGGTTCTGCGGAGCACGTCAACTGTTGGGATTCGGAGGCTCAGCGGACGGGGAAAGAGTGGAGATTCTGCCAGAAAACACAATCAAAGGCGCCATCGACGAATACATCGGCCATCGAATTACTTCGAACATTAGGGTATGCGGCGGCGCGGCCAATCCAGTGTACACCGCGGCCGTCACGGCCCTGGAGGCTCTGGTGTTTTATACCAGAGAACGTACATTTCCCTCGGATGGAGCGACAGCGCTTTGAAAGGTCACAAGCCCCGGGCAGAAGAAAAACTCGAAACCTAGTCGGCTTGCACCACGGGGCTCCCCAGCCACAGTAGTTAGTGATTACATCTTGCACTCCGGGCCAACGTAACACACGACGTGCGGAGTCTGCCCGCCGCATGTAGGATGACTGCGGGTTCTCCCACAGAAAAGGAACGCGAACTTGATGACAAGCTTTCAACATCTTGATAGGCACCTGTAGTGTTCGATTACCCTGGTCAACCACGGTTTGCAAAGAGGGGCGGGGGGGGGCGAGGGGGGGCCAAGGGGAGGGGCACTGCTTCGGATGGCGTTGCGACCACCACGAGCGATGGAGAAGCTCTCGGAGGGTACCCCAGCAAGGAGCCCGAGACACTTGTCACTCTGGATCATTCGAATTACGCGACGCAAGACGGTTGGCCTAAAGAGGTCTCCCTGGGGCCTTGTAACACATCAAAAGAGAAGACGGAAGAACCTCTTTTCCTCAAAGCCTCCGAGAAGTGCTCAGGGCCCGAGAAAACCTCAACAAAAAGAAGCTGGTCTGCCTTGGCACGGGAGGGCAGAAGGCGAAGCCTTTCTGTCAGGCGGCGGTCAGCAGCGCGGGTAGCTCGGTTTCCGCGAGCAGGGAGTACTTGCGCACCTGCGTGCCCATCTGCATCCTCAGCGCCTGGATCAGCCCGCACTTCTCGTCGCGTCGGACCGAGGCGGGCTGCCGTCACTAGCCGCGGCGCTGGCCTCCCGTCAGCGAGATCCTCCTTGTGCATGTCGATCGATGCGCCGCTGTGCCACGCCGTGCGCAGCGCGGGTCGCGGCGTCTCGGGGTCGAGGGAGATGGCCGCGCTGTCGGAGGCCTTCTTCACGTAGGCCATCGTGAGGGTCTGGAGCGAGTGCGTCGGCTTGTCCTGGCTCTGCTTCACGACGAGCGAGGCGAGCCTTGGTCGGGCGACGTCGACGATCTCGCCCATCTCGACCGTTCTGCTCGGCCTCTTGAGGTAATCGGGTTGATGTGTATCGTCAAGCGCTTCAGCTGCGGCCCCGCGGCTCGGGCTTGCGGCTTGCGGTGCCGGAAAGGCCCCGAGGGCCTCGGCTCGCTCCGGCGTCGAGGCCTCCGCTGCCGCGCGCCGCGACCGCGCAAGGCGAGCAGCCGGCGCTGGGGCAGCGCGCGCAGGTCGCGGCGGCAGCGGGGGGCCAAAGCCCCAGGGGTCTCGCCCCAATTCGCGGAGGGCCGCAAGCGTCTCGACGCGGTCACAACTGGCGGCCTTGCGCAGCGAGCTCGCGCCAGTCCGCGGCGCGCCCGCTGCGTCCGTCAGCGCGCTCGCGGACACGGCTGGCGCCATCGGCGCCGTTCAGCTCGCCGGGCGCCCATCGCCCGTGGACGCGAGCGCCCGCGGCCAGGGCGCGGGCGGCCCCTCGACGCAGAATATCGAGCAAACAAATATCACGGCAAGGACCCTTTGAAAGAGCAAGGGCGAGCGCAAGATTGTCTCCCAAGACCGCGCGTCTCTTCCCCCAAGAGTCCGCGTCCGACAGTCTCAGCGTGACGGCGCGTAGGTCTCCTCTTGCCTCCTCGCGATGCATGGGCCCCTTTCCGAACGGGGGGGAACGGCGCAACGGCTTCCAGTTGGAGCGGCGGAGGACGCGCGCAGACACTTCAGGAAAGCTTCAATCAGACTCACCCCTCGGCGCAGCGAACGACGGATCTGCAGCATCAAGCAAGAATGACTCGGCAACGCGGGCCGCGCGGTCGCGCGGCCGCCAACCGCCGCCCTCCTCGCGGGCATGACGGAATCGCCACCTTTCGTGCCAGCGGCCCGTGGCGAGGACGCCCTCGGCCCCCCGCTCAACAGCCATTGAGGCGCGCCCAGTCTCGCCGGCATCGGCCACGACCGCCGGCGGCGACCAGGGGCATCCAGCCAGGCGCGCAGCGCGATGAGGGCCCCGCGGAAGATCTTCAGCTCCTTCCGCACCGAGGCCCACAGTGGCCGAGCGCGCTGGCAGCCCTGCCGCGCGAAGGCGCAGACGGCGACGAAGCAGCTGAGGCTCTCGCGGCGACAGAGCGCCGCGAAGGTGCAGTGGCCAAGGGCGCGCTCGATGTCGCGACTGGTCACCCTAGAGCGGCGCCGCGCCAAGTAGCCGAGGCCCATGTGCAGCTTCCAGAAGCGCCGCGGTGCCAGCGTGGCCCGCGCGGGCCAGCCCTCCAGCTGCCCGCCCAGCATCATCATGGAGTCCGCTGCGTCGGTCTCGTCGTGGGCGGCGAGCCCAGCGGCCTCCGCGACTGGGGGGGGGGGGGGGGCCGGCGCCTGACGCGCGCCACCTCCTCCCGATCAGCGCCCGCGACGAGCGCGCCGTCGACGTGGAGGGAGTTTATCGGCTCCGCCGGCGGCAGGGGCGGAGGCGAGAAGTCGACGGCGCGCAGCTCGGGCCGTAGGGCGTCGCAAGCGCCCAGCGCGCGCTCGCGGGCCTCTGCGCGAAGTAGAGGGCCCAGCTCCGGCCCGCCGGCGCCGCGGCCAGCCGCGGGCGCAGGCGCGCCCGAGTCGCCGCGCGGCGCCCGCCCAGCCTGCCGATGCCCAGCTCGCCAGCAGTCACCGCGGGCAGGCAGAACAGCGGCCGTGGGTAGGCGGGTATCTTGTGCTGGTAGAAGGCGTTCTGGACGTCGCCCCCAGCGAAGTAGAGCGGGGTTCCCTCGGGCACCTCCAGGTCCGCGAAGCCCGCGGCCGAGCAGAGGTTAACTGGTGGAGGAGACCGTTGGTTGCTCTTCCTGCAGTCGAGCACCATCCTGATCCGCGCGTCCTCCTTGGCCGCGAAGAACACCCCGGCGCCCTCGATCCTGGTCTTGCCAGCCGCGAAGACGCCTCTGGAGATCCCAGATTTCACAGACTCCATTTACATCGCGCGGTTCTTATCCAGCACAGGGTCCATGCATGCATGGCGAGGGCCCCCCCGCCCTCCTCAACGACTGCGACGAAGCTCGTTGGCGGCAGCCGCACGGCGTGGTTGAGGCCTGGGAGAGAGCGTCGATCTGCTGGCCCGAGTCAGTCAGCAAGCCAGCCAGGCTCGCCCCCAAGTTGGGGCCAACTCACGAGGCGTGGTGCACGCGGCCTCAGCTGTAGATCGCTCGTCGTGTCATAGCGCAGACACGGGCGGCCCAACTGATGCACTGAGCGGGCTTCCCGGGCCGACGCGCCCGCTGGGGGCCTCCATCTGACGATGGAGACGACGAGCGCGAAGTAGATGGTCGCCCATCTGTGAGAGGCGCTCTGGCGTGCACTGCGGTGTGCTGTAGCCCCCGAGCAGGTTGAGGCACTCCACGGTGTCCCGAGTACGCTCCTCCATGGACTGAGCGCGTCGAAGGCGCGCCCGCACTGAACGGGGAATTCCAGGCGGGGGACGTGGAGCAACTAGCGCAGCAGGGACAGCAAAGGGCAGCATCCGTCACTAGCGCAGGGGACCGTGGTAGGCCAGCAAAACTGGCTCTCGTGAAGCGGCGGACGGGCCAAACACCTCCCGTCCGCCGAGTCCAGT